TGAAATAACATTCTTAAAAATGCAAATAATAACATAATAAGTTGAGTGAAATTCCCCCACAGTGGCCAGGGAAAGAAATAACATAGTTAACTGCAGCAGAAGAGAAACAATGCTGCTTGCAAACAACATGGGTTGGAATGAACTGATGCACTGTTACACCCCTGCCCTGTGGGAAGGGGCCTGGCTACTTTTTAAATTGAATGTTGATGTTGTTTATTGTGGTTTGAACTTGTTTTGGTTATTTCCACCTTGGAATAATAATAATAATAATAATAATAATAATATTATTATATTATATTATTATTATTATTATTATTATTATTTATACCCCACCCATCTGGCTGGGTTTCCCCAGCCACTCTGGGCGGCTTCCAACTGAATATTAAAACACAATACAGCATTAAACATTAAAAACTTCCCTAAACTGGGCTGTCTTCAGATGTCTTTTAAAAGTAGGATAGTTGCTTATTTTCTTGACATCTGATGGGAGGGCGTTACATAGGGCGTGTGCCACTACCGAGAAGGCCCTCTGCCTGGTTCCCTGTAACCTTACAGTGAGGGAACTGCCAGAAGGCCCTCAGCGCTGGACCTCAGTGAACAATGGGAGTGGAGACGCTCCTTCAGGTATACTGGGCTGAGGCCGTTTAGGGCCTTTCAAGGTCAGCACCAACACTTTGAATTGTGCTCGGAAACGTACTAGGAGCCAATGTACAGTGAGGGAAAAAAGTATTTGACCACCTGCTAAATTTGCCCCTTTGCCCTCTGACGAAAAAATGACCAGTCCATAATTTTAATGGTAGGTTTATTGTAGCTGTGAGAGACAGAATAACAACAGGAAAACCCCCAGAAACCTAGATGATAAAAGTCAGAGATTGATGTGCATTATAATGAGTGAAATAAGTATTTGATCCCCTATCAACCAGCCAGATGTCAGGTTACCTGGTATCTTCACTGTATGTAACGAGCTGAAAGGCCATCAGCATGGGATAAAACATCTCCTACCACTCTCTGGAAACCATTTGTATCCATTAAGTGGCAGGGGCCACTTAATTTGTATCCTGAAAGGCAGGATATAGATAACAGTAATAAATAAAATAAGAGTAAGCATGTTGGATGATGGCCTTTCTCAGCTGAGGTGGCAGCCCAACGGTGTCTGATCTGTGGGGAAAAAGAAAAGGAATCTGTTCAAGAAAGAGTTCAGTCTGAAAGCTGTTTATAAAAGTAAGAAAATGCACATGGCTACAGCTGAATGGGGTCTGGGTTTAATGACATTGACTTGGAAACATTTTACTTAAACAAAGGGAAGAGGAAAAGAGAGAGAGAGAGAGAGAGAGAGAGAGAGAGAGAAAGAGGGAAAGAAAGGCACAAGGTGAGTGAGTTGTGGGATGTAAAACTGCAGTCCTACAGTGGACATGTTAAGGGATGTTTTGTCCCACTCGGGAGAAGACTTCCTGTTTCCTCCTGAACTGGGAAAGACTTGAAGAGGGTGCGGTCTGTTGTACTAGCAAGAAGGAGCACACGGCCTCCATGTTCTGATCAGTGTGTCTTCTTCATTTTGGGTATTGCTGTGTGTTTGGAGAAGTGACTGCCTAGTCGCCGTCACTTGGGACTCACTTCTTTATGGAATGGTTCTAGTTGTTATGTAACCTAAGTCTGCCTTCAGGGATATGTCTGTGAACCTGAATGAATCTGTTGAGTAAACTACTTTTATATTAACGTTAATCAGATTCTTGTGTTTATTTTTTTAAGAGGGATTAGAGGGGATTTTACCAGGAAGGAATCTTTAATAGTAAGACTCAGACGAGTCAGCAACAAGCTGATCGCTGCGTAATTTAAAAAGGGGGATGTTTGGAACTCTGCTAGAATATGGAACTTGCTAGCGCAAGTTAGGAAGGATACCATTAAATAATATATCCTCTCCTGCCTCCCTAATCATCCCCACATGAGTCTTATTGGGAAACTCTGCTTCTGCTTAGTATAGAAAATTTCTGAGGCAGGATGGAGAACCTTTTCCAGGCAAGGGCCACATTCCCTCATGGGCGACCTTTCAGGGGCCACATACCAGTGTGAGCAGAACCAGAGGGGAAAGTGGGCAAGACAAACAATGCTGCTCTTACCCTGCATTCCAAAAACCATCCATACACAATTTAGAGACTTTGACACCCACACCCACACACCTTGCAGTCAAGCAAGAAGCAACATCCAAGGACATATTCCAGCCTGGCAGAAAGACCTGAGGGAGGCCTGTTGCTGGGCTGGTGAGGGGGCAGGCCTGGAGAGAGTGCCAAAGGCCTGAAGGGCCAAAGGGCCACACGTTGTTTTTGCTTCCAATTCCACTGCCTCCATGGGCTGGGGTAACCTTGGGCCAGTCACACTTCTCTGAAGTCTCTCAGCCTCACTCACCTCACAGAGTGTTTGTTGTGGGAGAGGAAAGGAAAGGAGATTGAGACTCCTTCGGGTAGTGATAAGGCAGGATATCAAATCCAAACTCTTCTTCTTCTCCTCCTCTACTTTTGCTGCCCCAGACCTCCAATCTGCAGGGACCTCAACTGTTCAGGAATTCTCAAAGATTATTGACAGAGACTCTGCGATTATATCTGCAAGCTTGGGTGCAGCTCATCAGGCCCTGGAGATTTGAATTCATTTAAAGTAGCTCGTTCCCTTACCCTCTCTTTTCCTATCTTGGGCTGCAGCTCCCTCCTTACATCATTCCTTCTGTTATCACCAGGTTGAGCAGTCCAGCCTTCTCTCTGTCACCCAATACCATTTCACGCGTCTTCACACAGAGGACCTACCCCTTGTTTGTTCTTCTTTTGGCTTTGAATATAGTCAAATAAACCTTTTAAAATTGTTTTAAACCTCTCTTGCAAGCCTGAGCTCATTCTGAGCTTTAGCCCGCCTGACTTTCCCCCTGCAACTGTTGGCTACTCATGCATGCTCCTCCTTTGTTATTTCCCCTTTCTTCCATTTCTCATACATGCCCTTCTTAACCCTCAGCTCAGCTGCAAACTGTTACCAGACGTCCCCGTTTCCTGGAGACAGTCCCCGGATTTGCGAATAAGTCCCCAGACAAATTCCATCCCCGGAATGTCCCCGGATTTCATCTAATGTCCCCAGGAAACTCAGCAGCGGCAGTCTCAGCAGCCCGGAGCAGTTGGCTCTGGCTGGCTTCAGGAGCTGCTCGGAGGTCCCCATATGATGGTGGTGCAGGGGCTCAAAGATGCAGCTTCCGGGCTGCCTCCACCTTCCTTGACCCCAGCAACTCAGCTGGGAAGGGAGGCTTCATGCTGCCTATTGGAGCAGCCTCCCAACTCCTACTTGTGTGCAAGCAGGAGCAGGGCAGGGGTCTCTCAGTTAGGCAATGGGAAGCCTCCCTTCCCAGCTGAGGGATCCCAGCCCCCTCCTGCTTGCACGCAAGTAGGAATGGGATTGGGGCTGCTCCAATAGGCAGTGGAAGTTCTGTGGGTGTTGAGGCCCCCAGGGCTCCCAGAGATGGTGCCTATGCTGGGCTGACTCTGCTGGGGGATTTAGGTCCCCCCATCTAGGCTCTCCAAATCATCCTGGGTCAAATCAGATGATATTGCTACAAGAGTTGGGCACCACCCCCACTCTCTGCCGAGTGTTGGTGAGATCCCAGGGGGTTCCAGGCACTCACCCAAGGTTTGTGCTCTTTTGGAGAACTGAAGACACGGCAGACACTGTTGTAGCTTTAAGAACTGTGGCTTATTCACCTATTTACACCTTCAGTCTGTCTGGAGGGAGTCCTGATCTTACAGCATGACCATTTCAAGAGGGGTTTATTCAGGGGTGTATGAAGGGGGGCGGGGGGTGCAACCCAGGTGAGGTGACAAGATGGCCCAATGCCCCCCCCAGCTGCAGAGCGGCCAAGATCACATGCACAGCATCCGTACAAGCTACCGCTTGAGTGCTGTCCGTACGGGCGTCACGCATGCACACTCCATACGGGCGCTACGCATGCGCTGCCAGCTGTTTGCCCCGCCCCTCGGCGCCCCTCCCCAGGTGCTGGAGAGGCTTCCTTTGCCACTGGGTTTTCCCCCCACAGCAGTGCAGCCCTGGAGTCTGCCAATTGTTGGCCAAGCTCCAGGGGGATCGACACTTGAGGGTTCAGTTCTGGCGGATCAATGCCAACATCAGGCTGAATTACTGTAACGTACTGTCTGTGGGGCTGCCCTTGTATCTGGTCCAGAAGCTGCAACTAGGGAAGAATGCAGTAGCCAGATTACCTCTTGGCAGGGCAAGGTCAGGCAAGGTGAGGCAACTACTTCAGGTGGCAGAATCCCCTGGGACAGCATATCCCATGATTGACTTTTCTTCTACCCCTTTTTCCTGATGTCAATCTTTCTTCTGCCCTTTATCCTTGGTGCGCAGGGGTGGCATGATTTTGCGGTAAACCTCAGGTGCCAAAATCTTTTGGGCTGGCCACAGGAGCCAATTACTGGCAACGTGTTCCTCTGCTGTTGAGAGAGCGACACTGGCTGTTGATTTGCTGTCAAAGCAGGCACAAAGTTTTTGTGCTAATTTACAAAGGCCTGAACAACTTGAGTCCCAAATACCTTAAGGACAATCGGATTCTTTACACTCTGAGTTCCTCTGGTGGGGCACTTCTGGCGGTCCTCCAGCCACCTGAGGTTTGCTTGGCCTTTACGAGGGAGCAAGCCCTGCCCTGTGGAACTCTCTGCCTGTAGACATTTGGCACAAACTGTCCCTGCCACCTTTTAGACATCTCTTTAAAATTGTACTTTTAAGACAGGTCTTCACAATATTTTTATTGTTAACTAACCAATATTTATTGCTGTTCTATTGTGACATCAAGCAGAGCCAAAGAGCCTCCAGGCTTCCTCTCCCTTGCAGACAAACAAACCATTCTGTAGAAAACCCGTTTGGTTTTGGCAGCAAACCCAATGATGTCTGACCAGTGAGACTGTGCTGTGATTCATCAAGAAAATGACATGTCTTTATTTCTGCCTTTCTTGTTTAAGGTTAAGCCTGAAGAAGAGTTCTGTGATGCTCAGAAGCTGCCTATGTTCCTATCTGGTCTGGGGCCATTGGCCCTGCATCACACGAAAGGTTGTGCAGCAGGAGCTGTGTTGGGTTGGATCTCGCCCTTTATCTCCTTGACAAAGTAGCCCAGCTCATCCTTGACACTCTTTATCTGAAAACTGTCTAGACTATGGAGCAAGCTGGGTATGAGCACATGTTTGCGGCTAGATTAAATTCCTCTTGCTATGACCTCTGGAATTTCAGCAGCTGTGGGAGGACTTGGGCACCCAGCAGGTGGGAGGTTACTCTGCTGGCCCTGGAGGAGGATCAGGAATTCATGGAAATGTCAGGGTTAAATAAAGGTGACCGGAGTTGTGTGAGAGAGAAGTATTATAAATGGAATTTTGAAAAAGTAAAATAACAAGAATGGAATTGTGAGTTATTTGCAAATGCCTCTGTTCATCGGGCCTTTTCCACACTTGGCATCTCCCTGCCACTCGCCACTTATTCCTTTGGAAACCCTTGAAGGGCTGCTCCAACCAGAGGCAGGGATTTGGGTGGGTTGGGTTTGTGGCTTCCCCGTAATGTCCTTTCAAGAAGAATTGGAAAATGAATCTCCAGTGTTCGTCAACATTGAGCCGACCCAGACAGCAGGCAGCCGGGGGAGAGATGCCTGCTCCTTGCTCCCTTGCTTGCTGAGATGGGTCCTGAATCTCAGCCCTGCCTGCAAGGCAAGGGAGCCACGCTTTCCCAGGAAGTAGCAGAGGTTGCTATGCGTTGCTCCCATTTGACACATGCCCAATAATGGTTTTTTAAAAAACAAAAAACAACATTTTAATTCTTGTTTTCATTATTACAATTCATTGGCTGCCTTGAGTTCCTTTGGAGAAATTTAGGAAAAACCAACCATTTCCAGTGCTTGGCCCAGGACCAAGAAAGGACAGCCAGTGGCATAGCTTGGGTTGTCAGCACCCGCGGCAAGGCAAGTAATTTGCACCCCCTAACCCGTGGATTTGCGCCCCCTAACCCGTGGATTTGCGCCCCCTAACCCTAACCCCCAGATGTTGCGCCCAGTGCGGCCGGCACCCCCTGCACCCCCCACGCTACGCCACTGAGGACAGCAAATGGTCAGTTGCCTGAAGATATCTTGAGCCGTCTCCAGTATGGACTGAACAAGGGAAGGATTAATAATGTTGCATTTCATCTCAGCTCTACACCTTCACAAACCTGGATTATTATTATTATTATTATTATTAGTAGTAGTAGTAGTAGTAGTATTACATTTATTCAAAAGTTACAACACAGCTATGCCCACTACCATACCATACTAAAGCCTCCTGGTGTATTTTGGGCTCTAGGAGACTTAGTTTGATCAGAATTGAGTCTACACTTCTAGAGTTAACACTAAATACATTACTTCTGTTAAAGGAGCCACCCAAGACTGGAGGGTTGAGAAAATTTGTGTCCCGGGCTTCTTTGACTCATCTACCCATGTACTATCTGAATCCAAGGGGGACATTGGTTGCCAGATGTGAGCTCTATTGGCATTATTTTCAACTCTCCTACCCCACTATCTGAATCTGAATTTTTCTTTTTCCATTTTGCCTAACAGACACATTTTCTCAAACCAATTTTCCCATATGTAGTGCATTTTTATACAATATTTTCACAGATGTATGATTTTTTTTGTACACCTTACCTCATCTATGTGTTTTGTATATTACTTGGCTGGAGAAGTGTGTCTCAAAATTCAGAGAACTGCAAATTCAGAAGGATGGCTGTGTTTTGGTTTGTGTAATGTTTGGAAAGCATGAATTTTGTGGACTTGCCTTTAAATTCAAATTGAATTCAATTTCTTTTTTTTATAATTAATTTTTATTCAATTTCCAATATACATTCCATCCATATTTAACACCCACTTCTAACATATACATCTTTTAGACTTCCCTCAGCCTATCTGACAATTTTCCATATTATCACAATTACTCACATTTCTTAAATTTATATTGCGCTTTAACAATCTTAATCTTATCATATCTTTTAAGCAACATTTCTATCAATCATTTTCACATAACTTCTTGAAAGCCAACAAGTGTTAATTGCCCCTCACATACATTTTTGATATACTCTGTAAATTTATTCCAGTCCTCGGTGAATCTCTGATCGCGTTGGTTCCGAATTTTCCCCGTTAATTTGTCCATTTCTGCATATTCCATCAGTTTCATTCTCCATTCTTCCCTCGTTGGCATTTCTTCCTGTTTCCATTTCTGGGCCATCAGAATTCTAGCTGCTGTCACTGCATACCTAAATAACTTCACATCCTTCTTTTTAATTTCATTCCCTAATATTCCTAATAACAATGCTTCTGGTTTCTTAACAAAAGTATATTTCAACATTTTCTTCATCTCATTATAAATCATTTCCCAGAAACCTTTCACTTTCTTACACTCCCACCACATGTGATAAAATGTTCCTTCTTTTTCCTGACATTTCCAACATTTATTACTGACTTTATACATCTTACCAAGTTTCACTGGTGTTACATACCATCTATATATCATTTTCATAACATTTTCTTTTATTGTAGTGCATGCAGTGAATTTCATTCCTTCTTTCCACAATTTTATCCACTCATCAAATTGTATATTATAACCAAAATCTTTGGCCCACTGAATCATAACTGATTTTACTTCTTCGTCCTTTGTATGCCACTCAAGTAATAATTTATACATTTTTGATAAAATTTTAACATCACTATTCAAGATTTCTTGATGAAACCTAGATTTCTTTTCCTGAAAATCTCTTTCTGACATCTCTTTTTTGAACATTGCATTCAACTGAAAATAATGCAACCAATCATTCACATTTTCTTTAACTTCTTCATATGGTTTCAATTTCCACTTATTACCTTCTTTGATTATCAAATTCTCATATGTAATCCATCTCCCTGTCATATTGATCTTTTTCACACTCATTATCTCCAATGGTGATAGCCAATATGGAGTTATACCACTGGTATATGGAGTTATACCACTCAGGAAAAGATTGACCCATATCCATATATTCCAAATTCTTTAACATAAATTCCCAAGAAACATTATCAAAGGCCTTCTCGGCCTCCATAAATATCAACATCGCTTGTTTATCCTTCCTGTTTGACAGATACTCTATTATATTAATTATATTTCTTATGTTATCTTTCATCTGCCTACCAGGAAGGAAACCTGTTTGATCCTTATGAATCATTTCCTTTAATACCTTTTTCATCCTATTTGCTAAAATATTTGCAAACATTTTATAGTCATTATTCAGTAATGAAATTGGCCTGTAATTTTTAACCTGTGTTAAATCAGAGTCTTGTTTGGGAATAAACGTTATATATGCTTCTTTCCAGGTCTCAGGTATTTCTCCTTCTTTCAATATGTTATTCATTACTTCTTTCAATGGTACAAGTAGAGTGTGTTTCATTTCTTTATAATATCTTGCGCTGAATCCATCCGGTCCCGGCGACTTCCCACTCTTCAAATCCTTTATTGCCATTTGAATTTCTTCTAATTCTATTGGTTCATTCAATTTAATTTTATTACTCTTTGATATTTTTTGCACCTTTTTCTTCATTAAATACTCCTCCATTGTCTTTATGTTGAGTTTCTCTTTTCTTTTATATAGATCTCGGTAAAAGTCCACAAAACCTTTCCTTATTCCTTTCGGATTCTCAATCTCTTGATCTTCTATTTTGATTTTATTAATTGTGTTCTGTTCTTTCCTTTTTTAAATTTGCCACGCTAACCATTTCCCTGATTTATTTGCAAATTCAAAATTCTTTTGTTTCATTCTTCTTATATTCCATTCTACTTCTTTATTGATTATCATCGCAAATTGTGTCTGGAGCATTTTTATACTTTGCTTGACCTTTTCATCCTTAGGCCTTATAGTTAATTTTTTTTCATTCTCCATTATTTGTCTTAAAATTTCTTTTCCCCCTTTTTCTCTCATTCTATTTTTTATTGCATTTTGTTGAATGAAGAATCCTCTCATAACGGCTTTGCTCGCATCCCAAACCGTACTCATCTTTGTTCCTTTGTTAACATTATTTACAAAATAGTCCATTAAACATTTCTGAGCTCTGTCCACAATCTTCTGATCATCTAAAAGACTTTCATTTAATCTCCACCGAAAAGATTTTCTTCATTTCCTTTTAAAATAGCTTTAACCGCATTGTGGTCTGATAGAACTTTAGGTTGAATCTCAGTCTTTATTATTCTTGTGGTTATTTCACTAGAAACCCATATCTGATCAATTCGTGACATTGCTTGACTTACCTCTGAATGAAAAGTAAATTGTTTTTCTAATGGGTGTCTCAATCTCCATATATCCACCAAGTTACAATTTTCCACCATGTCAAAAAAGGTTTTTGGTAACTTCCCTTCCTTCGATTTGCCTTTAGCCCAAAGTCTATCCATCTCCATTGATACCACACCATTCAAATCACCCATTATTATTACTTTCTGATCCAAATGTTCAAATAATTTTTCCTCCAGACCTTTGAAAAATTCTGCTCTACTACCATTCGGTGCATCTACTCCAATAATTATCAGTTTTTCACCTTGCCAATTGACTTGGACTGCTATGATCCTGCCTTCTTCATCCTTAAATAAGTGTTGTGCCTCTAATTTGTTTTTTATGTACAATACCACCCCTCTCTTTTTGCTTTTATCCGATGAAATAAATTCATTTCCTAATTTTTTATTAATTAAAATTTTCCTGTGCGTTTTTTTAACATGGGTCTCTTGTAAACAAATAATATCCAAATTCTTTTGTTTTAAATATTGTCCCACTTTATTCCTTTTTTTATCGTTCATTCCATTCACATTCCATGTCCATAATTTTAGTGCCATAGTGTCTGCCAATTAAATATTTTTCCTCTTATATTTTTATTTCTCTTCCTCTTCTTGTTCTTTTTCAATTTCCTCTTCCTCTTCCCATTTTTCTCCTCTTCCTCTTCTTTTATCCTTTCTGCTTCGCTCCTCTTCCTCTTCCAACTCTACAGAGTCTCCTTCATCACCTCCTGCTCCTGCCACCTCTGCTTCTTCTCCTTCTCTGGTCAGTTCTTTGTATCTTCTAAAAAATTTATCCACCTCATCTGATTTTGTCAGTCTGTGCCTCTTCCCTTTGTATGTAAATGCTACTCCTTCTGGAAATTCCCATTTAAATTCAATTTTGTTTTTCTTCAAAGTTTGTACCAATTGTCTATATTGGTCCCTTTTTTTCAAAAGTCTCAACAGCACGTCTTTAAAAATAATTATATAATTTCCATCAATGTTTAAACGTTTCTCCCTGTTTTTTTGCAAAATCAAATTTCTCATTTCTCTATCTTGAAGATAATCAAACAGTCTCCAGGAAATTTCTTAACTCTGGTCGATCATGTTTTAATCCGGAAAGCATTTTGTATTGTTTTCTCCACTTCTTCTATTTTCATATCCAACCATTGGGCAATTTCTGCCGTCAGTTTCTCTTTAATCCTTTCTCCCTGGGTTTCCGGCACAGACCTCAACCTCAGATTAGTTTCCCGTTGCCGAAGTTCATTCATCGCAACCGCATCCCACAGCTCGTCCTGCGTCCTGTTCACTTCTGACATTTCTGCCCTAATTTTTTCCTCTTCCTTTTGGACCTCTCTCATTTCTAATTTTGTCCTTTTTATTCCTTCTTCTAAATTCTGTGTTCTTTTGACAATTTCTGTGTTTTTTTTAGCAATTTCTTTCATCTGGTCTTTTAATTCATTTACTGTTAAGTCTATTTTATTGTCCATTTGCTCTAATTTTGTTTCCATTTGGCCTA